AGTTAGTTCCCTCAGATTGGCCTCGGGGCACTCAGGCTTGGTCCTTACCCTAAGCAATGCAGCCCATGCCTCCCTGCCCAGCCCTTGCTTGCTAGTGGCAGATGCGAGTGTCTGGGCTGCTTCTCCACTGGGAGTTGCCCTTAGGCATGTAATCTGTGGGTTTTAATTAATTATTTATTTATTTATTTATTTTTTCTCCTAGTTATGTTGCCCTCTGAGATTCCAAGGCTCACCACAGACCCACTGGTGAGAGTATTTCCTGGTGTTTGGAAACTTCTCTCTTTTTTAAGACTCCCTTCCCAGGATGGATCTCCATCCCTACCTCTTTTGTCTCCCTTTTAATCTTTAATATTTTGTCCTACCTCCTTTCGAAGACAATGGGCTGCCTTTCTAGGTGCCTGATGTCCTCTGCCAGCATTCAGAAGTTGTTTTGTGGAATTTGCTCAGCATTCAAATATTCTTTCAATGAATTTGTGGGGGAGAAAGTGGTCTCCCCATCCTATTACTCCACCATCTTAGGACCACCCCTCGAAACATGGGATCTTAATTCCACAACCAGGATTTGAACTCACACCCCTTGCATTGGAAGCACAGTTTTGTTTTTTATAATTTGAACTTTTATTTTTTGCTTGGGGATAGCCGATTAACAATATTGTGACAGTTTCAGATGAAAAGTGAAGGGACTCATCCATACATATACATGTATATACTCTCCCCCAAACTCTACTACCATCAATATTGCCACATAACACACAACCAAAATAATTAAGAGAGATAAGGAAGAGAAAAAGATAATGCTCAGTAACCATATGATCATCTGCATGTGCAAATTCAGACACCCTCAAGTCATCAAGGGCTTACAAGATTATCAGGTGCTATCCTTCTATGTAGAAAGTAAATACTTTATTTTTTTTAATTAAAAATATTTATTTTTATTTATTTTTGGCTGCTCTGGGTCTTAGATGTGACACTCAGGATCTTTGTTGCCACATACAGGCTCTTTAGTTGTGGCATATGAAAGTTTTAGTTGTGGCACTTGAACTCTTAGTTCTGGTATGTGGGATCCAGTTACCTGACCAGGGATCGAACCTGGGCCCCCTGCACTGGGAGCACAAAGTCTTAACCACTGGACCAATAGGAGGGTCCTGAAAGTAAAGATTTTAGAACTACCCTAAATGTGGTGGCTCAGAAAGTAAAGAATTCACCTGCAATGTGGAAGTCCTGGATTCGATCTCTGGGTTTGGTACATCCCCTGGAGGAGAGCAACCCACTCCAGGATTCTTGCCTGGAGAATCCCCATGGACAGAGGAGCCTGTCAGGCTACAGTCCATGGGGTTGCAAAGAATAGGACATGACTGAGTGACTAAGCACACACCCAAAATCGGGTTGAAGAGAAGGAATATATCAGCTCTTTTTCTCTGACAGCATAACATCTGTCCTGAGTTCCTTGGTTTCTGCTGCATTTTCCTAATCTTACATCACTTTTGGGACTGAGTCCCGTTTTCTCCCAGATTTGCTAGAGGGTAACTGCTCAAGTGTTCGTAGGAATATACATTTCCCAGGAAGTCTTTAATCAAGCGACAGAAGCTGATATCGGAACTCCATGAAGGAGGACTGTGGAGACAGTGACTCCTGATTATGGTGGTCACCCAAAGAGGTATCTTACATCAGTAGAAAGAGCTGTCCCAGGCTGTGGTAGATGTAGTGGGGATGCTGAGAAAGAGGAATCCAGAAGGACTCGAGTTGCATCCCCACTGCCTGTTTTTGGAGGCCTTTATGGACTACGATCACATGAGGGTCACCCTGACTTCCAACTTGGAATTCTCAAGGAGACTAGGACCTTGATGTAAGACAAGCAGCTTCATAAAGCAGAGAGTGGAGTTACAGGATTCATTACGTGTCAATGTGAGGACATGAAAGTGGACTCACAGTAGCACACACTGCATCAAAGGAGGCCTTGGAAAACCTCTGTCACTGTGCTCCCGAGGAAGTTCAAGTCACAGATGTCAGGTTGATTTCAGTCTGGAAATTCTCAGTGAGGTGAGGCCTCTGTCTAATAGGATCAGCTTAGTTTAGTGGGTTGATGAACCTGAGCCCAAGCAGGACCTCAGATGACAATGCTGAGTGTTAGAGGGGACCCCTGGAGAGGGAGCCAAACAGCATTCTGTAAATTCTTAGCTCTGAGAGACCCAGAAGAGCTACTTCTGAGTGGTCCCCTCATTCCACCTGTGTGATCTCAGGGACGGCAAGGCCTTCTCTAGCAGGATAGGGCTGCAGAGGGGTGTCATCTTGACCATAACCAGACTTAAGGTGAGGACAATCAGTGCTAATGAGAGAACCTCTCCCCGAAAGAGGGAGGCTTACAGAGTGGCGCCTCTCCTGACAAGCAGAGATGCTCAGAGCAGTGCCCTGATTCCCTCCACTAGGGACTTGGGAAGGTGAGGGCTTTGTCTGGGGGCTGGAGGACTTGGGTTCATAGAAGGAGGCGTTCAGGGCTCTGATAAACTGCACGCGGAGGACCCTGAGAGAGAATCCCGGGACGGATGAATATTGAGCTACTGGGGTTCCCGTAGCACGCTGCCCCTGTCGTCGTCCCTGGGAGACCTCACGTAGGACCTTACGCAGCTCCCCTCCACTTCCGCTTTGAAGGCGAGAAGCTCGACCGATAGCCGCAGCGACTGTTCGGCGGAGACTTGTTGTCCAGGACTCGTTCGGAACCAAGGTGAGGACCTGAATGTAGCTGAAGGAGCTTTCCCAACCCTCCCAGTAATAAAAGTGACCCATCCACATCCCACCCCTGTGATATGGCTCTTGTGGGCCCCTCAGTGCTATTGGCTGAATGCGGTCTAGCGTCTCAGGTGAAGGCGTTGGTCTGTGGGGGTAGGCCCGGATTCTACCCTCGAAGGAGCTCTAGGTCCTAGATAACGGCCCTGAGGGTCGAAGAGCAGACTTCGACACTGCAAGGGGGCCACACTGAGCGGCCCCCCTGCACTCAGCTCTAAGAGGCCCCAGGTGGAGCTGGCCGATTGTGGTGCCCCCGGTTGTCCACAGGAGGTGGTCCTGGGGAATTGAGAGCCTTGCCCTAACAGAATAAAACCAGTTCAACAAAGGGAGCTAGTCCCCAACATGATTCATGGTTGTGACGCTGAGTGAGGTTGGGGGCTACCGCCTTAAGAAACGGGGCTGCATAAAGCACCAGCCCTGTTCTCAGGCCTGGGAGAATCAGGCGTTTTGACATGACACTTCCCAGGACATCTCAGGGAAGTGAGCGACCAAGTCAAAGGAGGCAGCCTCAGGTTGACAGGGGAGGGTTTCAGATTTGCGAGGAGTCATGGTGAGAACCTCGGAAGCTGTGGGGATGTTCCACACCACATCATTCAGACCAAATCCTCCCTGTCGTCATCCCTGGCAGACCTCAAGAATACATGTCGGTCCCCACTGTGGTCATCTAAGGGAGTGGTCAGCAGAGGGAGAAATCTTAGACCCTGTCATGAGTCAAAAGTAGACCTTGGTTACTTCTATGTCCCGGCTATTGTAAATAGTGCTGCAGTGAACATTTGAGTACAAGTGTGTTTCAGTTAGTTTCCTCAGGATATATGCCTAGTAGTGGTACTGTTGGCTCATGTGATAGTTTTATTCCTAGTTTTTTATGCAGAGTGAATTAAGTCAGAAAAAGGAAAGCCATTATCATATATTAATGCATATATATGGAATCCAGAAAGATCGTGCTGATGAATCTGTTGGCAGGGCAGCCTGGAGATGGAGACGTAGAGAACACACTCATGGACACAGTGGGGGAAGGAGAGGGAGGAGCAGATTGAGAGAGCAACATTGAAAATGTACACATTACCATATGTAAAATAAATAACCAGTGGGAATTAGTTTTATGACTCAGGGAACTCAAAACCAGTACTCTGACAGCTTAAGAGGGGTGGGATGGGGTGGGAGGTGGGAGAGTTTCAAGAGGGAGGGGACATACAGTATACCTATGGCTGATTCATATTGATGTGGGGCAGAAAATAACACAATATTGTAAAACTATTATCTTTCAATTAAAAATAAATAAGTTTGTTTTAAAAACGACACAGAAGAAAAGAGAAGCAAAAAAAAAAATCAGCTTTGAATTGGGATCTTGGATGGGACCACAGGGACATCAACCTGCCTGCAACAGCTTCCATTCTTAGGAAATGGTGTTTGGTAAGATGAGGTCATCTTCACTTCCTCCTGTTGAGACACAGGGTGGTTGGCTTTTACTATCACACAGGCATCAGTTCAGGAGAAAGAGGAGGTTCTCTACCAGGAACTCAGTTGAGGAACCTGAATGAGGACTCAGAGCATCCATCCCAACCCTTGGATTTCAGCCCAGGAAATCTCAGGGATGGGCTGTGAGGTTGGACATCTGCTTTACTGTTTTATACCAAGTCTAGGGGAGGGAAAATGTCTAGTCTGAAGGTGCAGCCACCAGTCAGCAAATGGAGAATAATGCCCAACATTTTAAGGAGCCAAGGTAAGGACCATGAATGATAATCCCAGTGAACTCAGGGTAGAAAAGACCCTACTAAGCTCTCAGCACTGGGTATCCCCTGGGAGGGAGGTGGACTGAGGCATCCCTTCACTTGCTTCTGGATCATGTGGCGGTCTAAACTGTCAACATCAGGGTAGCAGAGGGAAGGATGCCCAGGCTCCGCCAGGATTTGATGTGATAATAGTGAAGATGAGCTGAAAGGAACCCACTGCCAGCACCTGCTGTCACCTCAGTAAATCCAAAGCAGGGCTGAGAGGATGCAGAGGAAAAGTAAACCCTCTATTCTACCTCTGTGGGATTCTCAGGGGACACGCTGACCAGGAAAACAGGAGCCTTGTGGGTTCCTCGGTCAGTGTCCTCAAGGACACCTGCAGAGGCGGCCTTTGATTAAGCCAAGGTAGAATCTCCCTGTTTTAAGGTGCTCATGTCACCTCATTTTTCATCCTCCAGGTGCCCCAATCCCCTATTGGCCCAGACTCCTGCCTGCGGTTTCTGTCCACGGCCGTCATGCCCCGTGGGCAGAAGAGTAAGAACCGTGCTCGTGAGAAACGTCACCAGGCCCGGGCTGATACCCAGGGTCTTCATGATCAGGCCACCACATCTGGGGGAGAAGAGACCACCTACTCCTCTCCTCCTGATTCAGAGAGTGCTCCCTCAAGTTCGTCTGCTGCTGGCACCCCCAAAGGGCCTCAGGGAGCCCAAGGCATCACCAGTGCTGCTACAGGTGCTATACGCAAAAGATCTGGTGTCGGTGGCAAAGCACGCTCAAGAGCTGGTGCACGTGGCAAAGCACGCTCAAGATCTGGTGTAGATGCCGAGGGCCAAGTTCAGGAAGGTGAAAATTCCTCCCAGGCCTCAGCTGCTGCTAAGAGCTCTCAAACAGATCTTCTGACCAGAAAGACAGACATGTTGGTACAGTACATGCTGTTTAAGTATAAGGTGAGGGAGTTCATTAAGAGGACTGAAATGCTGAAGGTTATCCACAGAAGGTACAGGGAGCAATTCCCTGAGATCCTTAGCAGGGCCTCTGAGTACATAGAGATGGTGTTTGGCCTGGTGCTGAAGGAAGTCAGGCCCAACAGTCACTCCTATACCCTGGTGAGCAACGTAGATCTCAGCGACAGTGAGTATATGAGAGGTGATTGGGGGCTGCCGAAGAATGGTCTTCTGATGCCTCTGCTGGGTGTCATCTACCTCAATGGCTGCCGCGCCTCTGAGCAGGATGTCTGGAAGTTCCTGAATCTTCTGGGCATCTATGATGAAAGAAGGCACTTCATTTTTGGAGACACCAGGAAGCTTATCACAGAGGATCTGGTGCGGGAAGAGTACCTGGAGTACCACCAGGTGCCCGGCAGCGATCCCCCTCGCTATGAGTTCCTGTGGGGTCCTAAAGCACTCACAGAAAACTGCAAGATGAAAGTCCTGGAGTTTTTGAGCAAGGTCAATGATTTGGTCCCCGATGCCTTACTGCCGCATTATGAGGAGGCTTGGAGAGAGGAGGTAGAGAGCGCCAGAGCCAGAGCTGTAGCCACTGCTGGCCCTTCTGCCTCAGCCAGTGCTGGCCCTCCTGCCTCAGCCAGTGCTGGCCCTTCTGCCTCGGCCAGTGCTGGCCCTCCTGCCTCAGCCAGTGCTGGCCCTCCTGCCTCAGCCAGTGCTGGCCCTCCTGCCTCAGCCAGACATGGCACTTCTGCTGCAGCCAGGGCTGACATGTCTGCCACGGCCAGTTCTGGCTCTTCTGCCTCAGCCCATGCTGGCCATCCTGCCTCGGCCAGGCCTGGCCCTTATGCCTCTGCCAGGCCTGACCCTTCTGCCTCGGCCAGTTCTGGCCCTTCTGCCTCAGCCAGACCTGGCACTTCTGGTGCAGCCAGGGCTGGCAGTTCGGCCTCAGCCAGGGATGAGATGTCTGCCAGGGCCAAGCCTGGCCCTTCTGCCTCAGCCAGGCCTGGCCCTTCTATCTCAGCCAGTGCTGGCCCTTCTGCCTCGGCCAGACCTGGCACTTCTGATGCAGCCAGGGCTGGCACTTCGGCCTCGGCCAGGGCTGACATGTCTGCCAGGGCCAGGCCTGGCCCTTCTGCCTCAGCCAGTGCTGGCCCTTCTGCCTCAGCCAGTGCTGGCCCTTCTGCCTTGGCCAGTGCTGGCCCTTCTGCCTCAGCCAGACCTGGCACTTCTGGTGCAGCCAGGGCTGGCACTTCAGCCTCGGCCAGGGCTGACATGTCTGCCAGGGCCAGGCCTGGCCCTTCTGCCTCAGCCAGACCTGGCACTTCTGATGCAACCAGGGCTGGCACTTCGGCCCCGGCTAGGGCTGACATGTCTGCCAGGACCAAGCCTGGCCCTTCTGCCTCAGCCAGGCCTGGCCCTTCAGCCTCAGCCAGTGCTGGCCCTTCTGCCTTGGCCAGACCTGGCACTTCTGGTGCAGCCAGGGCTGGCACTTCGGCCTCGGCCAGGGCTGACATGTCTGCCTCAGCCAGGCCTGGCCCTTCTGTCTCAGCCAGTGCTGGCCCTTCTGCCTCAGCCAGTGCTGGCCCTTCTGGTGCAGGCAGGGCTGACACTTCGGCCTCGGCCAGGGCTGACATGTCTGCCAGGGCCAGGCCTGGCCCTTCTGCCTCAGCCAGGCCTGGCCCTTCTGCCTCGGTCCACTCCAGGACCACATCCAACCGCTCATCTCACCCCTAGTATAGTCTGAAGCCCACTCTTCACTTTGTGGTTGTAAAAGCCTGTCAACCTGTGTTCCTAATATGCATCAATAACTTGTTGACTTTCCCCCATAATTTTCAGTATTACTTTTTTCAACAGAAACTTTATTTAGTTTATTGATAGAAGTATATTAATTACATGGGTACACACTGTTTGCTGTTTGTCAAATTTAGGAGTAAGAGTTTTGTTTTTTGAAATACATATTGGAAATCCTTAAATCACTTGTGATCCAGGATGAGAATAACATCACTTTAGGATAAGAATATGCTTAGAAATGTGAAAGACACCACACTAAGAGAGGCTCAGAACATTGATACATAAATAGAGATATAGCTGAAAGTTAGTCAGTTTTTGGTTTGCTTTCCTCTCTGTTTAGTCTCCCTTTTTGTAAAGGTAAAAGTTATATACCTGGATCTGCTTATGGTTTTCAAGAATGTTTGAGAATATAAATTATCGCAAGTGATTTATTCGTGGTTCTTCTTTTACACAAACATTAATTGAGCATCTACTCTTAAGAAGTCTTCATGCTTATACTGGTGATATTTAGTCAAAAATGTCCCAGCCTCTGCCCATTCAATTATAGTCTCTCAGAGAAGCCGTCATTCTATGGAAGAGGCTGAGATGCTCTCTACCTCAAGAAGAAAGAGTAAAAAGGGTAAAGTGGGGTTGGAAACAGCATATTACATTGTTTTCATTGCTAGGCAGAATTTTTGCTAGATTCAGGAGGTTGGGTATTTTTTTTTCCTTCAGTTAGAATGCTGCATAGTACCTGATATCTATTAGATACAAAAAGAAAAAAAAAGAATACCAGCTGATGTAATCCCAGCTGATTATCTGAGGTCAAGATAATCATAGTAATAACAGCCATTGCCCTTAATGTCTCAGTAGAGTTAAGCACCATGACAGATGCTTTCTGTAAATACATATATTCCACCAGTCCAGCAAGACAGGGCTTACCAAACACAGTTCACAATGGAGAGCCTGAGGCTTATAGAGATAGTGTTTGATTTTTGTCGAAATACTTCAGGCTGGTAAATGACAGAGCTGGGACTAGATTCCTGCTCTATAAACTACTGTAGCACTCATACTATTTTCACCCTCCCCTCACCCCAAGACATACCCTTATCTTTTTTTTTTAAACAAGTACTTTTAGCACTTGATATTTCATTTCCTTTTTCTTACTTATTTATTTGGCTGTGTTGGCTCTTTCTTGCAGCATGTGGGGTCTACTTCCCTGACCAGGGATCGAACCTGGGCCCCCTGCATTGGGAGCCTGGGGTACTAGCCACTGGACCACTAAGAAAGTCCCCACCCTGTATGTTTTATTTCGGTGTTTTTCTCAATACTTCAAAATTTGTCCTAGGTGATAAAAAAGAATGCCCTTGTGCTCAAGCTCCTGGATCAGAATGTGTAGCCAGAGCAGTAAGAATACCAAATGCATTTAACCAGAAATATGTATCCCTTATTCATTACTCACGGATAAATGAGACAATATTCGGTGCCAGTATAAGCATGTACGTTGGCCATATTAGATAACTTCTGAAGACCAAGGGCTCTCCATATCATGCTTACAGTCTCTTGCCGGTAGAAAGTATATCTATCAGAAGAGAAATAACATGAGAACCTTCACCTGACTGATAAGGAGATAGATTGATGTACTTTTTTTACCTGATGGGTGACCACCTGTCCTGGGACTCCTGCCATGGGCTATAGCTTCTCCACCTCCCAGCACTCCTAGGAGAGAGACCCATTCTCTGTAGCACTGCAGAGCAAACACAGCTCAAGAGTTTGCAGAGATGTATAATTTCCCCAGGAGCCTTTAGTGCAAGATACAGAAAGCAAGATGAGGACCCCATGTAGGAGGATTGAGGAGAGCAACACCCCAGAATATGAGGGGGGGGGGTCACTGGAACAGCATTCCCGACTCCTCTCAGACACACAGAATCTCAGAACTGTTAAGCAAAGCACAGCCTCGCTTATTCCTCAGGCTTCTCAGAGATCTAAGAAACTTGGTGTTGGGGCAGAGTTCTGAGGTCGGATAGGAGTGAGTATCAGTCTCAGAATTGACGGTGATTAACCTGAATGAGGGTGATAGAAAGACCCAGCCACAACAGTAGCAACCTGTAAAGACCTGTCCTCATTGGCAAGCCCATAAAGTCCAGAAAAATCCAGGCTGCTGTAGCTAATGCTTTCAGCTCAGGTCCCGGGAAGGTGAGGACATTGGGAATCAGCAGAGTCCTCAGCCTCAGATCAGCAGAGACTAGAACCCCAGGAAGGGTGCAAAGTGAGGACCCAGGATGTGGACATGGAAGCCCCTCAACTCACAGCCAACAGGGCTACACTTTTCCCTCCTCTCCAGTGAGCCCTGGGAAGCATAGGTAAGTGCTGGCCAGCTCAAGGGCCCCCTGACTTCTGCATGGAGGGTGTCAAGGAGATGTGGACATTGATTTATAGGCTGGCTCTTCATCAGAGCGTGGAAATCCCAGGCATGACATTTGCACAGTCCTGTATGAGAAGTGTGGCAGCCAACTACCCTGTTACAGATAAATTCTTAGAGAGTCTTGCAAATGTAATGGGCCCTGGGAGGGAACAGGCAGGGCTTTCAGACTAGGTTTATCCCTCATTTTCTGAAGGCGAATGGCTTCAGGGCCTTACAGTCCTTGGACTAGTGCAGGAGGCCCCATTCAGTTGAGGTCAGGTACCCAGTTCCAAACAGGAGTCAACTGATGGCACTGGCTGACAATGAAGGATCCCTCCCAGAAGGAAGGGGGCCACAGAGGGCCCTGTCAGGCCTGAGATTCTGCAACTTAGGCCTGGTTATGTGGTGAGTCCTACTCACTTCCTCCCAGAGGATCACATGGACATAACGAACCTCATCCTGATCAAAGGGAGCAGCCAAAGCTCAGCAGAAGGATGATTTCCAGGTTGTGCCAGAAGTCAAGGTAAGGAACCTGAAGACTGAAAAGACCACCTGCCTCAAAACAGTGGGGGCAGAACATATTCCTTCCACTACCATTAGCCTTGGAAGACCACGGGCTGGGTGGGCCGTGAGGCAAA